AGACAGACAGACAGACAGACAGACAGACAGACAGACAGACAGACAGACAGACAGACAGACAGACAGACAGACAGACAGACAGACAGACAGACAGACAGACAGACAGACAGACAGACAGACAGACAGACAGACAGACAGACAGACAGACAGACAGATAGATAGATAGATAGACAGAGAGACGGACAGACAGCAACAAGTTTAATTCCCAAATAAACAGTATACAACAGTTCTTAGCGTGTATATCCGAGTTTAATTAAAAAACCATACAACAGTTCTTAGCGTGTATATCCGTGAGCTAAGGCAAGACTGACGCCACATGCTCAGTCACTCAGTGATCACTTGCTGCCCGCCTGATATTGTTGGCTTGTTCAGCAACAAGCCAACAGTATCAAGTTATGGCACAACAACCGGGGCAATTTTAGTTCACACCTGCTAAAATTGTCCTTAATTTTATGAAACTTTCCTCACTATCACTCGCTTCCAATCTCTCACCTGTCTGCAGGCAAGGTGCTAGGTTTAGGTGCATTCGGCCGTGTCGTTGAAGCAAACATCTCAGGACTAACTGGTCCTGATTCTACAACCAAAGTCGCGGTCAAGATGGTGAAACGTATGTACGGCTTCCTCTGTCTGCATTTGTATGTAGCCGTAGATCAGGACAAAATATGCAATGCGATGTAAACACCCAACATGGCTTTGAAATTGTGAATTAACTCTGTGTGTGTTCAGAGAACAACAGCTCAGTCCAGTCTTTAATGTCAGAGCTGAAGGTTTTGGTCCATCTTGGTCCACACCTAAATGTAGTCAACCTGCTGGGAGCCTGCACCACCCCTACAGGTAAACACTCACTGTAAAATATACATTGAGTTATCCTTAGCAACGTCTGCTATTTGACATAAATGTTAGGGTTAATGCTGGTGGTTGGAAATGACCAACATTGTTGTTATGTACGTGAACAGTTTTCCAATGTATTTTTTTCTTTGTTTCTGCAATAGTCAAAAATGAATGCCAACTCGCAGCTATTTTATACACAGTTGTACTTAATGTACTTAATGAGCTCTGAAACCATTATCTGGTCTAATCTAGGCTGACTTTATTATTTGTCTGTAGCGACCTGGTCTAAGCTAATGCTAGCTCAGGTACCTGTGTCTTTGTATGTTTTCACTAAGTTAAGCTTAAACACTACGTGGAATCAATTCCATGTTATCCAAGTATAATACACAGTATGTGGAGTGTGATGCACTTTTTCTTTTTATAAAAGCAGAATTTTCTCATTCGGTCGTCGATGCCTCTGCTCAATGTGGTTAAATGCGTGAGCGAAATGAAATGAGAACTGCATTTATTTGGTTGTTACTTTACCTAGATTGACCTTAATATTGGTCTGCTCAGGTCCTGTTTATGTTATCACTGAGTTCTGTCATCACGGAGACCTGCTCAACTACCTGCACAAGAACAAACACACCTTCTTGCAGACTGACGCACAAACTGAGAGGTGAGTGTTTTGTGAGGACTTTTCATTGAAATGACACAACCTCTGCTACTGACGCACAGTGTTTTGAGTGTTTTGTGAGGACCTTTTCATTGAAATGACACAACCTCTGCGCCAATACCCTGAATGTAACCATCCCAATTCATTCTATTCACAGTGATGGTGGTTACATGGACATGAGCGAAGAGAAGAACACTCAGTACGTTGCTATGAAGACAATAAACAGCACCCAAATCGAGCCCACTGTTTACGAGACCCCGTATCCATCATTAGGTAAGTCAATGACAATTGTGAAACTCAACATAGAATTAAATAATGCATGGGACAAATAATAGTATAGTAGCAAAATATATGAAAACGTTAATAAAAAAAATCTATTATTAATATATTAGGAATAAATGAGTGTGATGATTTTGTAATTAGTCGATGGTGCCCTTAAGATGTTTTTATTTCAACAAATATTACAGGAAAAGCTCTAAACAGTGCTAATGTTTCAGCCGCTTATCACACTGAGGCTCAACGCTCTTTACAAGAGATGTCCGATATTAGCTTTTTTCAGCTCTCTGAGGTGCCGATATTGTCCAAACACTTCAATTTCCATTTCCGATATCACGCGATACCTATTAAGGGCCTGGTAGTATTGGCAGAACTGGGAGCAGCATAGACTGACATGGAAACCAGAAACACAGGACGCATGGAGACACAAAATGACACAAAAGACAAAACAAAACAGACCTGAGCCTGTACATGAAACAACTGGAAACAAGGCCTCTCCCAAAAAAAACAAAACAAAACTAATGCGTCTAAATCTATCAGTACGATATTTTTGGGACTATTAGTCGCACGTTTTTTCCATCCTTTGGCTCCGTTTGCGAGTTATACTTAGGTGCGACTTATATATCAAAATATATAATTTCACGTTATTTTCACATTAACAGCCGCTAGAGGGCACTCTAGCTGGCTGGTGTGACTATTCCGAAGTGACTTATATATGTTTGTTTTTTTTCTTCTTCATTATGCGGTTTTTGGCTAGTGCGACTTATGCTCCGGAGCGACTTATACTCAGGAAAATATACAGTATCTTAAAAAAAACTCGATATATTGCTCAAACCTATGTAAGAACATACAATGGTACTGTCTTGACATGGGAAGAAATACTCTGAGGATTAATTGACTGTATCATTGTAACTATACCATGCTGCATACTATGATTGTGCAATAGTAGGAGTACTGTATTCCTTCCAATGCAACAGAGTGTTTGGTTATACTGTTATACTGTATACTGTTCTTTGTAGTACTGTTTTGGCAAGATTTTTTGTGTTCTCTATGTATAATGCTGTACCTTACCTCTGACAGCATGAAAACCATAACGTGGTCCGTTTTGTGCTCTTTCAGATGAGACGTTCCTGCTGCTCGATGACTCTTCTGCCTTAAGCCACAATGACCTGCTAAGTTTCTCTTATCAGATCGCTCAGGCCATGGATTTCCTGTCTTCTAAAAATGTAAGATCCTCATCTAAAAGAAAAACAACTTTGTGCGATAAATAGTGTATGTACACCTTTTTTTTTTTTAAGGAGCGCCGATAATGGCCACCCATATGACGTATGTCATGTGACATCCCACAGTGTGTCCACAGAGACCTGGCGGCAAGAAATGCGCTGGTATGCGAGGGGAAGCTGGTGAAGATCTGCGACTTTGGCTTGGCACGCGATTTGACCAAGGATCAGAACTACATCGCCAGAGGAAATGTCAGTTGTTCACACGTTCGAATCATTGTTGTTAAAAGTAAATCAGAACACCAAATCATTTGCTACTGCTGTTGCAGAACTTTCTACCGCTGAAGTGGATGGCACCAGAGAGCGTGTTCAAGAGTGTCTACAGCTCCCAGAGTGACGTATGGTCCTATGGAATTCTGCTATGGGAGATTTTCTCTCTGGGTAAAGACTGGACTTCTCTTGTAGCCTTTACAATACTATCTCTTGGTCATTCAAATAGCTAAGTTAAATCGTTTATTAAATGGCATTGGGGAGTTTGATCTCTTAATAATAGCTATTTTCTCTTCATCTTTTTTTCGGCCGCTGCCTTGAGTACTGACCAGAGTAGATCATCTTGCCTCCTCTGCTGTCACATAAACAGTGTTTAACCATATAACCAGTAACTTACCATATTTTCCGGACTATAAGTTGCTCCGCAATATAAGTTGAGCCCGCCAGAAAATGCATAATGAAGAAGAAAAAAAAAACATATTTATATACTGTAAGTCGCTTCGAAGTATAAATCGCACCAGTCTAGAGTGCCCTCTAGGGGCCGTCAGTGTGAAAAGAAGGAACATGTACATTTTCAGTGGTACAGGAGTAGCAGATAATGGTACGCAAGCCTACAGTGCACTCTAGCGGCTGTCAGTGTGAAAAGAACAAACAAATGTGAAATTACATATTTTATTATATGTTGCACAAAAAGTGTGACTTATAGTCCGGAAAATACTGTACCTCAGCACAGGTCAATGTGTTGTGTTAAGATGCAGCACAGCGTCTTAACATTGCCTTTTTTCTCTCTTCCCGATATCATCTGTCAATCTGTCCGTCAACATAGCAAACAAAAAGGGGGCCCTGTGGAGGTGTGTACTAACCCATTAGGTACCTTTTGTGTGCTTTGTTTATAACCGCAAGTCACATGTGAATCGCTCCTCTCCAGGGCTTGTAGATTCCACTACCAGCTATCCTGGTTATCTCATCGTCAGTCACACCTACCGTGACACCTTCCTGCTAGTTATCCTTACCACATTAGCGTTCCTTTCTCAATCTAGTAGAGTAGAGCAGTAGACACCCCTTTGTTTCCAATGTTCAAATAATTAGTAACAAGTTTGCAAATACAGTGGAACCTCGAGATACAAGCTACCTTGAATACGAGTATTCCATGTTACGAGTCTGCAACTAAGATTTTCTTAGAGGAAACATCTCTCTCTCTCTCACTCCCTGCCCCTCGCTGGGTTATTTTACCCATTTTTATAACAATAATATAACATGTTTTCTCAATTATTATTGTTTTATATTATCAATATTTTTGTTTATATATTTATGTTTTTGATGTTTAGTTTGGGGGTTCATTTATTAATTAAGAGTATATTCCTAAGGGCGGTGGAAGGAATAAATTGGTTTTTAGTTATTTTTAATAGGGGAAAATTCAATTGAGACACGAGTGCTGTTGTGCACTCGTAAAAAAAAACTCGTATCTAGAGGTTCCACTGTATATCATTATGTCTCGCTGACCCTTGTTAATCGACATTATAGTAGTAGTAGTTATATAAAAAAATTTAAGCATGTAAGTCAAATAATCTTGGTCTTATCCTATTATAGTAGGTAATAAATATTCTAACCTTCTACTAACTTCTAATCACCTTCACTGTACATAAGGCACGTCTTTCTTTGTGAAACATATGAAGATGAAAGTAAAACAGGAAAATCTTCCACAATCTTAAACGGTCCGGGATGATTTGAGAAATTGTGATTTAGTTCCATTCTGCATCACAGTGGCTACCTTCTCGCTCCCTATACGTTACTTCTGTCGCTTTCGCAAATGAAGTCAACACAGCAATCAGTTCTTCAGTCAGTTCTCAGTGAGCTTATCTTAAGTCAACTTTAATTTAATGTTGGCAGTGTGACACATTCATCCTTTAGGTCGCTTTTTTCCTGCAATTTGGACTGATTTTCCTGCTTCTGTCTGTTGTCAACGATGGGTAGCTTGATGTGTTATGGCTATTGGTTAAAGCAAGCGAATAACGTAAACTAATCAGAGGTAAAGAGAAAAAACATGACCTTTTGATTCTTACCAAAGAGACCTCGAATTGTACCACTCATGTCGACAAATCATCTCTCCCGTCAATGGCCTGGTGGCTACATCCTCCAATCTAAATGACAGCGTGCTAATCCAGGCCGTTTTTTTTTTGTGTGTTTCCCTAGGTGAGAGTCCATATCCTGATATTCCAAGAACCCGAGACTTTTACTCTGCTCTAAGGAGAGGATACAGGATGACGTGCCCTGACCACACTCCCCAGACTGTGTACGACAGAAACAAAAGCACACAAACGCACAATACAAAATATCACATTTAGGTATCAACATGACACAAAGGTTCAACAAAAGTAAACTCAAAGAATGGACATTAAGATGTATGTATGAACATAAAACACAAGTAGCAAAAGTATACTGTATGTATAAACATAAAACACAAGTAGCAAAAGTATACACGTAACGCCAAACACATACAAAAAGGTACGCACAAGTATATACACAGCATCATAACACAGCCTACCATAGAAATACAGGTCTCATTAAAAGAAATACATGTATCTGTTCCTGTGCAGGTATAACCTTATGACAGAATGCTGGATGGAGAAGCCCGAGGCCAGACCATCCTTCACTTCTGTGGTCAGTACTTTCAGAAACATGATGAGCGATGACTACAACAAGGTAAACAAACGTACTTCAAAATATAAAATATATAAAGAAATATAAAATATATAAAGAGTGTATTTAACAGAGTGAAGTCTTGTGATATGAAATATTGATTCTTTGTTAGATAGATAGATGGATAGATAGATAGATAGACAGAAAGATAGATAGATAGATAGATAGATAGAGAGAGAGAGAGAGAGAGAGAGAGAGATAGAGAGAGAGATAGATAGATAGATAGATGGATGGATAGATGGATAGATGGATGGATGGATGGATGGATAGATGGATGGATAGATAGATAGATAGATAGATAGAGAGAGAGAGAGAGAGAGATAGAGAGAGAGATAGATAGATAGATAGATGGATGGATAGATGGATGGATGGATGGATAGATGGATGGATAGATAGATAGATAGATAGATAGATAGACAGATAGATAGATAGATAGATAGACAGATAGATAGATAGATAGATAGATAGATAGATAGATAGATGATAGAAAGATAGATCTGGGTTATTGTTCTTTGTCATTACAAAAACTGTTTGTTGGAAATTAATTAAATGTTAATTTGCTATGGACCTCTGCAGCCCATTCCCCAACTTCTACCTTGTGTTATTTATGTAATATGATAGGGCAATCTGAGGGAAATTCATTTTTTGAAAGGAATGGGTTTAATTCCCTAGTGCGATCACCTTCAGGCCTTTCATTATAAGACCTTGTACATCAATTGTACTGTTACTGTGCTTATTAAATCAGTTACACTTGCGATTATATTCAAATGGGTGTAACGATGATGGTAAGAAGAGTGTCTACTATTGTACTACTATATGTCCCAGAACTAATTTTTCTTACATTGTTCAGGAAGTCTGTGTAGCGCTTCATATCACTAAGTGCCCTTGAAGTAGCTCTCAGCTTCAAAAAGGTTGGAGACCCCTGTTGTACATAATAACTGTGCAAAGCTTTATCATCCCATCCATGCTAAGCAGCCAAAAAAAATAAAGGCAATAAAGAGTTTAGAAGTTATTCAGAGCACCGAGGCATCTGACTGGTCTGCCGCTGGGGCATTAAACTAATTTTAGAGCACACGTAATTTCGTGAAGCCCAGCCATTGCGTTATCGGGGTTTTCAGTATCAGAGGAAAAAGCAATAACGATTCTTACATACAGTATATTACATCATTATGCTAATACCGTGACGTTAATATAGGTCGGCCAACGTTATCGGACATCCCGACTAAATACTATATAGTAAACATGCTAATATGTGGGAGGATGTAAAGGCACTGAGTTGATCGTGCAGGATTGACAGTCTGTTTTTAGCCAATAACGGAGATAGATTTTCCAGATTTTCCAATCAGTGTTACTACGTAATAACAGGTTTTCCAATCAGTGTTACTACGTAATAAACCTCAACGAAGAGTACTCTAGCATTGTTGCGCAGTAATACCACACCTATCACCTTGTGTTGTTCTTAGCGGTACGTTCGAATGACTGAGGAATTCCTGAAGGGACAAAATCCAGCCGCTATCCGATTCCGAGCTGGCCAGACACATGGTAACGCACACACACACAGAGTAACGAATGCATTAATGAGAGAATCTAAACTACAACCTTTGTTCTGTTTGCTTTGTTAGAAAGCCCAATCTCTGAGGACAAGGTCCGTCTCTTAGAGGTGGGACCAGAGGAGGCTGGACCCTCCTGTTCTTCTTAGATCATGTTACTTTAAATGCATCCAGGTAGATGTTGAAGACTTAACTTGTCAGTATGAAACACTATGAATGTTCCGGTCTGCAGCTGATCAGTGTAACTATACTCTCAGGATGTGACATAATCAATGGGACGACAGGAAGCTGACAAAGGACAGCAGACTGTGTGATGTATAATGCCAATGGAGAAGTAACATTTTTAAACCATGTATTCTTTTTATCTTTTTTTGTGTGTTTTTTTTACCAAACTATTAAATGTGCAGCAGATCCTACATTTCAGAGTGTGTTTATTTATTCTTTCTCACTGTGATCATCACATATGAACAAGTCATTATCAATTACAATGTGACAAGAAGGTATCACTACTCGCCAGGGCAGGTCTTCTTCTTCTTTTTCTTTCGGCTTTGTCCCTTTTTTTTTCAGGGGTTGCCACAGCAAATCATTGATTTCCATCTCTCCCTGTTCTCTGCATCTTCTACTCTGATTCCAACTATCTGCATGTCCTCCCTCACTGCATCCATATATCTCCTCTTTGGTCTTCCTCTTTGTCTCCTACCTGGTAGCTCCATCTCTAACATTCTTCTCCCAATGTATCCACTGTCCCTCCTCTGCACATGTCCAAACCATCTCAATCTGGCTTCTCTAGCTTTTTCTCCAAACCTCCCTGTCTGTGTTGTCCCTCTAATGACCTCATTCCTGATCCTGTCCATTCTTGTCACTCCTAAAGAGAATCTTAGCATCTTTAACTCTGCCACCTCCAGCTCCGCCTCCTGTCTTCTGTCTATTGCTACTGTCTCTAAACCATACATCATGGCTGGTCTCACCACCGTCCTGTAAACCTTTCCCTTCACCTCAGCTGACACTCTTCTGTCACAGATCACTCCTGACACTTTTCGCCAGGGGCAGGTGCCACCAACTATATTTGTCGGAGCGCCAGAATTTTTCTGGACAGACACTACTGTGGACGTTAAAAAAAATGAAATAAAAAAAATCACAGTTTTGTTTAACATTATTATTTGATGTTTATATTGGAATCCAGTCATGGGCCTGA